GTAACTATATAGACTAAAGAAAGAAAACCTCAACAGAGACAACGGAAAAGATGAGGAAAAAAGTTTGAGATGGCAGTAAAAGAGCAGAAGACTACTTGTAGTGGCACGATTGATCTTGAGGGATGAACCAACGGATGGGAACTTTGATTTGACTTACCACCGAGGCACCGCACAAAGAAAACAATCGGCCAAACGTTCATCTCAGTTAGCCATGAGAGGGAGGATAGAACCACAATGATCCGGGATCAGGATCAGGAGCGATAGTAGCCAAAGGGTGGACCAGACAGTCGATTGCATGAAGCAAAGATAGTAACGCAGACCAGTATACTGGAGGACCAGCAGAACCACTTATAGGCAGCATGTTCAGGGCATTGTCAATGACATGTACACCAGGAGGAGCAGCAGGCAGAGCATCCCACAGATCACGATCCAAAGCACGACATTGAGGGAAGTGATTTCGAGAGATGAAAGATCCATCCATGCAGGGACATTCCTCACGCATGTTTGCAAAACGACCAAGACGCCAACGAACCAAACGACTACGAGCAGATCGACCAATAGGTAAGTACAGTATGGGATCAGGGCGAGAGACAGAAGGACGGCACGCACGAAGCAGAACATGTTTACCAGTAGTAGTAGCAGCAGCCAGTTGTTGGTCAACCTGATCTTGCCAGAAGTCAGAGAAGTGAGCCTTGAGACCAGCAAATGAAGGGACAGGGTCAGGCAGAGATCTATACAAACTGTTTTCACAGATGTACCGATCCAGTCGAGTGTACGACAGAGCATCACGCAGAACCACCACAAGACTATCCTCAGGTAGAGTAGCAGAACGAAGAGCATACCTAGTTGCCAAGACATTATACCGATGTTTCATTGAAGGGAGACAGGTAATGTGCTTAGCAACGTTGAACCAGGAACCACCCACGAACATACCAACCAGCCGGTTTTGGAGCTTGTCAAGAGCCTCAAAGGTATGATAGTCAAGATGAGATATAGCGAGGCCATACTCAATCTTGGGTCTAACGAAAGCCTTGTACAGACGAGAACAGAGCAGCAGAGAGAAACCATTACGGTTGACACCAACAGAGTTCAGCAAAGCCATAACCTTGACAGCACCAGCGGACCGCAGAGACAAGATACTAGGAGCATGTAGCCCTTTATATCGAAATGGCATACCAAGGTACACAAACTCATCTACCACCGGCAGCGGCTCATTGTAGAGAGTAAGACGAGCATCAGAGAGGGCAGTAGGAGAACCGAGCACAGCACATTTAGATGGCTTCCACCTATAACCAAGACAGACAGAGTGTTCAGCAGCAAGATCCAACATAGACTGGACACCAGACAAAGACCCAAAGATAGCAACATCATCGGCAAAGAGCAAGCTATTGATGGCAATAGGACGACTAGCACCAGGAGGACTGACCATCGTAGCACCAGTATCAACAGAACGCAAAAGATTCGGTAAGGAGTTGATATACAACGAATACAAATGAGGACTGAGTACTGAGCCTTGAAGTACACCAGTAACAGGAGAGAAAGCAGCAGAGGTATGATTAGCAATCAAGACTGAGACTGAGACATCGTCAAACATGTTCATCAAAAGACCCAGAACAGGACGAGGAAGTGTAGAACCAGCCAGGGCTTGCCATATAACCCTACGATCGACAGTATCATAAGCTGACTTGATATCCAAGAAAGCCACCACAGGATAGCGACGGTGAGTCAGAAAGTAATCATGCATCAAGTCATGCAAGCAGAGGGCTTGATCCAGAGGACTACGTTGAGGACGGAAGCCACCTTGAGCAATATCCAGAGCAGGGGAGTGTTCATCCAGAGCCGGCATGAGACAGAACTCAAACAACTTACGCACCACCGAAGTGAGCGAAATTGGTCGATAATTACCAGGATCGGAAGCATCACCCTTCTTGAAAATCGGAAACACCTGAGCTTGGCGCCATAAACCAGGAGTATAAGACCATTGATAGCAGAGGTGAAACAGCAGAGAGAGCACTGGGGCAATTTCTGAGGTCAGAGCTTTTAACATCTCAGCCTTGATATGGTCAGGACCAGGAGCTTTGTGAGTCGGCAGACGTTTAATACACAGTACCAAGGTATCAGTATCAAACAAAGACATGTCCGCAGGGAGACAGAAAGGCAAGTCAGAAACCATAGGAGTGACAGGAGCAGGACGAGAAGCAGTATTTAACAGAGCACCTTCGTAGACCGTAGCCAAATGAGAGCCCATAGTAGCAACAGAAGCAGCAGGACCATCTGGGTGACTGTACGTAGGTGAAGACTCTTTATTGCGCTTGATGCGTTTTATAGCAGCAGTAGCTTTTGAGAAGTCTCTTTCCAGAGCACCACAGAACTTATGCCAGGACTTGCGCTTAGCAGACTGTACCAAAGAGCGAAAACGGCGATGAGCTTGCTTGTATAAGACCCAACAATCAATCTTAGTATACCCAAGGGCATACCGCCATCGACTGTAGAGACGATCCCGTTCAGTAGCCGCGTCTTGGATTTCTTGCGTCCAGTATTTCTTCCAATGGCCAGGACGGCCAGACTTCACACCTATTGAGCTATCCAAACATTCATACAAACATTGGTTCAAAGAACCGTTGAGTGCATCAATGTCGGGACGAGTACCAGGAGGAGCAGACACCAAACCAGAGAGAGTAACAACCAGAGGAGCAACAGAAGATCGAAAGGATTCACGGAGTAGGCCCAAAGGCCTCTCTTTCGTCAATTTCGAGAGCTTCCATTGCCGCCTAGGAGCCAGAACAGAATCACCAGGAGCCACAGTGTCATCAAGAGGTGGCACATACTCGAAAGTAAGTGACATCAATCGATGGTCAGAACCAAGAGACAGATCAGACTCAACCACCAGTTGAGGGTTCACCAAAGCAACATCACCAATATTTGTCAGAAACAGATCGATAATACTACTCAATTCTTGCTGCTGCCGAAAAGAAGAGTAAGTCTTAACACCAAAAGCCAAAGACGCATTAAGCACAGATAAGCAATGTTCGTCAAACCAAGGTTTGAGAGCATTACCACGAGCATTGGAGCTAACATCACCAGTCAGAGGACCCAACCGAGCATTGAAATCACCGCAGAGAATAGTATCCCTAGTCATAGGTAATGAGCTGAGGGCCGAGAGCACCTTATCAGAGGATAAGGGTGGAGGAAAGTAAACACAATGAACCGTTAGGGTGCCAACCTTGAGAGACAGAGTGTGCGGATTGTATGAAGGGAGTTGGAAGACCGTAAAGGGGCAAGAAGGAGAGACAAAAGCAGTGATACCACCAGAACCACGGTTGAAAGCACCAGGTACTTTTGAACCATACAAGTGGTATTGAGACCAGTCAATCGGATAGGAACCAGAAGTGAGCCAAGTTTCAGTGACAAACAGAACATGAGTATCAACAATATGAGAAATAACATCATGAACTGTTGTTTGACGAAGACCATTCGCATTCCAAAGAGAGAGAGAGACAAAAACCGAGGGGACAGACACATTATTCAAATTACCAGACCATGATTCATTGTTAAGAGACATTAGATCTCCATTTCAGAATCAGTAGAAGTATCACGGCGACGCTTGAACAAGAAAGCAGCCTTTTTAGGGTCTTTTTCCTTTAGTCGGTCCATAGCACCAGCAACAGCCTCGTCCAGTTCGGCTTGACCTATCCATCCAAGATCCAGGAACCAACGGCCAACACTACTCACATTAAGTGGGCGGATATGGGACAGAGCATCTACACTGCGAGCATTGACCATCTCAGCAATAAGATCCATTCGATCGTGTTCAGAGTAGGCATCGTACTTTGGGTCGGCAATATTAGCAGGATTCAACGGGTCAAAATCCTCCAATATTTCCGATTCACTTGCACGGAGCAGAGCCAAGAATTCAGCAACATATTGGGTATGCAAGAGAATACCAATAGCTTCAGAGGCAGGGAAGTTGATGTCGAGGATACGAGACGTATCCACCCCAATGGCCTTGAGAGTGCGTCGAATTTCAGAGCGTAAGATCTTACCAGATCTACCAATATATACATATTGATATCCTTGGGGACCCTTAGCAGCAGACGTTTTGAAGAGACGACCAGCAGCCAACTTTCTCTTAGCAGCTTTAGTTGGATCAGGGCGATGTGCAGCCTTCTTAGCTATAGCAGAATAGCTAATAGTACCAGAATCAGTGGTGGCAGTAGCAGAGGTGGTGGATCCAGATGCCCCTTTGATGGGGGTGCTTGTAACAGAATCCTGTGACGTGGCTTGCAATTTTTCAATGACCAGATCCTTGTCGTGTAAAATTTTTTTCAAGGCTTGGTTTTCCTTTTCCAAAGCATCGAGACGAGCCAAAATACCATCATGTTGATTAACACGTTCAGAGAGAGAGGCAAGTTGTTGTTGTAACTGTTGCATGATAACAGTAACCTGATTCATATCAGTTGGGTGCTGAAACTCGGGCATGTTGCTGATTATTTTTTTAGAAATTGTTGAAGATCCAAAAAAATATGAAGGAGATGTTCAATAAACTTGAAACTATAACACAATAGACAGAGACTAAAGGCAAGTATACTGGTATAGTTTTGGAGTTGATTGAGTTGCTGATTGTTGGGAAAATAGCGTTTTTCGTGATTCTAAGGAGACTTTTTACGGAGAGGGTGGCAAAAAGTGATGAAAAACGGAAAGAGATCGCGCGGGTATAGCTCAGTTTAAGATTGTTTTTATTTATATACAATGTTTTATAATTGGGCACTCGGTATGAGCATATGCCATAAAACTAGTAACTATATAGACTAAAGAAAGAAAACCTCAACAGAGACAACGGAAAAGATGAGGAAAAAAGTTTGAGATGGCAGTAAAAGAGCAGAAGACTACTTGTAGTGGCACGATTGATCTTGAGGGATGAACCAACGGATGGGAACTTTGATTTGACTTACCACCGAGGCACCGCACAAAGAAAACAATCGGCCAAACGTTCATCTCAGTTAGCCATGAGAGGGAGGATAGAACCACAATGATCCGGGATCAGGATCAGGAGCGATAGTAGCCAAAGGGTAGACCAGACAGTCGATTGCATGAAGCAAAGATAGTAACGCAGACCAGTATACTGGAGGACCAGCAGAACCACTTATAGGCAGCATGTTCAGGGCATTGTCAATGACATGTACACCAGGAGGAGCAGCAGGCAGAGCATCCCACAGATCACGATCCAAAGCACGACTTTGAGGGAAGTGATTTCGAGAGATGAAAGATCCATCCATGCAGGGACATTCCTCACGCATGTTTGCAAAACGACCAAGACGCCAACGAACCAAACGACTACGAGCAGATCGACCAATAGGTAAGTACAGTATGGGATCAGGGCGAGAGACAGAAGGACGGCACGCACGAAGCAGAACATGTTTACCAGTAGTAGTAGCTGCAGCTAGTTGTTGATCCACCTGATCCTGCCAGAAGTCAGAAAAGTGAGCCTTGAGACCAGCAAATGAAGGGACAGGGTCAGGCAGAGATCTATACAAACTGTTTTCACAGATGTACCGATCCAGTCGAGTGTACGACAGAGCATCACGAAGAACCACCACAAGACTATCCTCAGGTAGAGTAGCAGAACGAAGAGCATACCTAGTTGCCAAGACATTATACCGATGTTTCATTGAAGGGAGACAGGTAATGTGCTTAGCAACGTTGAACCAGGAACCACCCACGAAGCGGGTATAGCTCAGTTTAAAGATTGTTTTTATTTATAAGAAATTTAATGGGCACTCGATGTGAGCATAGCCTAACTTCAAGAACAAATATAGAGCAAGTAACTAAAAAACCCCTCCAGAGCACTTTCAAAGGAGAAAAAAATGCAAGTGACAAGAGTACAGGACATGGAGACTAGTGGTGCTCACATTGAGGATCTCGAGGGACAACCAACGGATGGGAACTTTGATAATGACTTACCACCGAGGAGCCGCACGTAGAAAACAACAATGGAACATGTTCATCCCTGTCAGATCAACCAGTACTGGAGTACCAAAGAGACGCTGGATCTGGATCCGGAGCAATGACAGCCAGAGGATGCACAAGGCAATCGATAGCATACAGGAGGTTCAGTAGAGCAGGCCAGAAATCAGGAGGACCGGCAGAGGCATTAGTGGCAAGCAATTAAGAGCATGGTCAATACGGTGCACACCAGGTGGAGCAGGCGGCAAGGCATCGATCAAGGCAGGATCAAGAGCACGACAGTACATAAAGTGATCACGAGAGATGTAGACACCTGCAGGTGACATACAGGGACAACTCCTCACGCATGTTAGTAAAGCGGCCAAGACGCCAGCGGGACCAAACGACTACGGGCAATACGACCAAGAGGCAGATAGAGTATGGGATCAGGCCTTGTGGTATCAGGACGACAAGCACGAAGCAAAGTATGACGACCAGTGACAGTAGCAGCAGAGAGTTGGAGATCAACCTGATCTTGCAATAAGCAGCCAAAGGTAGTACGCAAGCCAGCAGAAGAAGGAACAGGGTCAGGCAGCGACTGATACAGAGGGGTTTTCAACATATAAAACGATCCAACCTTGTATAGTGCAAATGGGCACGAAGCAGAACCAGCAGACAATCGTCATGGCAGAGTATCAGCACGCAGAGCAAAACGGGTAGCCAGGTACATTGTAGGCGATGTTTGATACTGGGAAGACAGGTAATGTGCTTGCGACATTGACCCAAGTAACTAACCCACAAACATGCCAAAGTCGGTTTTGCAGAGTATCCAGAGCAGTAAAATCACGAGCAGAGAGATGCGAGATGGCAGACCGTATTCAAGCTTAGGACGAATAAATGTCCTGTACAAGGCGGAGAGAGAGCAGCAAAAGAGAAACCATTGCGGTTGACACCAACAGAGTTTAACAGAGCCATGGGTCTTGACAGCACCAGCAGAACGCAGAGACAGAATAACCAGGGAGCATGCAGGCCTTTGTATCGGAATGGCATACCAAGGGTATGTAAATTCGTCAACGACAGGCAGGGCTTCATTGTATAGTACAAGAGGAGAACCAGCAAGAGCAGCAGCAGTACCAAGCACAGCGCATTTGGAAGGCTTCCACCTATATCCAAGAGAGACAGAATGACCAGCAGCAAGATCCAACATACGCTGAACCTCAGACTTTGAACCAAAGACAGCCACATCATCAGCGAACAGGAGACTATTGATAGCAATAGGAGCATCAGCACCAGGCACAGGCAGCATAGTAGCACCAGTAGCACCAGAACGCAAAAGACTTGGTAAAGAGTTGATATACAACGAGTACAAGTGAGGACTGAGCACTGAGCCTTGCAGAACACCAGTGACAGGAGAGAAGGCAGTCGAGTTGTGATTAGCAATCAAGACAGAGACAGACACATCATCAAACATGTTGATCAACAGACCCAGAACAGCACGAGGAAGACTAGAACCAGCCAAAGCAGACCAGATAACACGACGATCGACTGTGTCATATGCTGACTTGATATCCAAGAAAGCGACAACAGGACGACGACGGTGCGCAACAAAGTAATCATGCATCAAGTCATGCAAGCAGAGGGCTTGATCCAGAGGACTACGTTGAGGGCGGAAACCACCTTGGCAATGTCAAGGGCAGGAGAATGGGCATCCAGCTCAGGCATGAGAGAGAACTCAAACAGTTTGCGCACAACAGAAGTCAGAGAAAATAGGCCTATAGTTGGCGGGATCAGAAGCATCACCTTTCTTGAAGATGGGGAAGCTTGGGCATGACGCCAGAGAGCAGGAGTATACGACCATTGGTAAACAGAGTGAACAACAGAGACAACACCGGAGCAATCTCAGAGACCAAGGACTTGAGCATCTCAGCTTTTAATATGATCTGGACCAGGAGCTTTATGTGTTGGGAGCCGCTGAATGTGAGATACAAGAGTATCAACATCGAACAGTGACAAATCCACAGGCACACAAAAAGGCAGAACAGAGTCAAAAGTGGGGGGAGCAGCAGGACGAGTAGCAGTGGCAAGCAGAGAGCCATCATAACACCGAAGCGAGATGAGAACCCATAGCAGTGACAGAAGCAGCAGGACCGTCGGGATGACTGTAGGTAGCAGAAGACTCTTTGTTACGCTTGATGCGCTTGATAGCAGCAGTAGCTTTTGAGAAATCCTTTTCTAGAATACCACAGAACTGTTTCCAGGACCTTCGCTTTGCAGCTTGCACCAGGGAGCGAAACTTGCGATGCGCAATTTTGTATAAGGACCATTTTTCAACTTTGACAATACCAAAGGCATGCCTCCATTGACTATAAGAGTGATCACGTACAGTAGCAGCATCCTGAATTTCTTGCGTCCAGTACTTCTTCCAATGGCCAGGACGACCAGATTTCACACCAATAGAACTATCCAGAGATTCATACAAACATTTGATTCAAAGAATCGTTGAGTGCATCAATATCTGGACGAACACCAGGAGGAGCAGACACCAAACCAGAAAGAGTACCAACCAGAGGAGCAACAGAAGATCGAAAGGATTCACGGAGTAAGCCCAAAGGCTTCTCTTTCGTCAATTTCGAGAGCTTCCATTGACGCCGAGGAGCCAGAACAGAAATCACCAGGAGCCACAGTGTCATCGAGAGGTGGCACATACCCGAAAGTAAGTGACATCAATCGATGGTCAGAACCAAGAGACAGATCAGACTCAACCACCAGTTGAGGATTCACCAAAGCAACATCACCAATATTTGTCAAAAACAAATCAATGATACTACTCAATTCTTGTTGCTGCCGAAAAGAAGAGTACGTCGTAACACCAAAAGCCAAAGACGCATTGAGTACAGACAAGCAGTGTTCATCAAACCAAGGTTTGAGAGCATTACCACGAGCATTAGAGATAGCATCACCAGTGAGAGAACCCAACCGAGCATTGAAATCGCCACATAGAATAGTATCCCTAGTCATAGGTAATGAACTAAGGGCCGAGAGCACCTTATCAGATGATAAGGGTGGAGGTAAGTATACACAATGGACCGTAAGGGAGCCAACCTTAAGGGACAAAGTATGCGGATTATAGGATGGGAGTTGATAGACAGAGTAAGGACAGGAAGGAGAGACAAAAGCAGTAATACCACCAGAACCACGGTTGAAGGCACCAGGTACTTTCGAACCGTAAAGATGGTATTGGGACCAATCTGTAGGAAAAGAGCCAGAAGTTAGCCAGGTTTCAGTAACCAGCAAGACATGAGTATCCAGGACATGAGAGAGAACATCGTGAATCACTGATTGACGAAGACCATTGGCATTCCAAAGAGAGAGAGAGACAAATAAGGAGTGGACAGGGTTATCATTTTGGGTATACAGTATCAAGGACTCAGTGGTGGAACACATTATTGTTCCATAGCAGAATCTTCATTGGCAGAGTCAGCATTAATCTTGCGACGGAACAAGAAGTTAGCCCTCTTGGGTTCCTTCTTTGCAAAGCGTTGAATGGCATCACCAACAGAAACAGAAAGGTCTTCGTCACAAATCCAGCCTTGCTCAACAAAGTACTTACCAACACCACTGACATTCAGAGGACGTAGGAAAGCTAAGGTTTGCAGACACCGAGCAGCAGTAAATTCCATGATCAAAGCAGTACGTTGATCCAGAGTCAAAGAGTCATACTTAGGATCAGCTATGTTAGCAGGGTCCAAAGGGTCAAAGTCGAAGAAGAATTCAGCCTCACAAGCCTCCAAAAGTGCAGTAAAATCCTGAACATATTGCACATGCACCAGGATGCCAATAACATCGGATGCTGGGAAACAGATGTCAAGCACACGACCCAAATCAACGCCGGCTTTGCGCAAGAGAGAGCGAACTTCAGAGCGTGCAATCTTCTTAGATCTACCAATATAAACATATTGGTAACCTTGAGGACCTTTACGAGCAGCAGTTGTAAAGGCGCGACCAATAGCAAGACGCTTCTTAGCTTGCTTAGCTTCAGTAGCAGGTATCAGGATCAGAGGTTAGCAGCAGCCTTTGCGACATTTGCATAGCTAGGTGATTTAGTAGCCTTAGTATTCATAGAGCCAGTAGTAGTTTTGAGGGTTGACCCCTCTACCGCCGTGGGCCGACTCGAACCAGAGGGGACCACGTGACCGGAGACTGCACCCTGCAATTTTTGAATTGCAAGGTCCTTGTCCTGTAAAAGTTTTTTCAACTCTGAATTCTCTTTTTCCAGAGTATCTAAACGAGCAAGAAGACCATCATGTTCGTTGACGCGAGCAGTAACCGAGGTAAGTTGTTCTTGGAGCTGATTAAGAATCATTTGAAGCTGATTCATATCCATACCCTGTAG